AATTAACTAATTATATAAACCACTACTATGGGTGCTGAAACCTGGCTTCTTGAAACCTCTGCTGTGCCACTGACAGTGTAAGAAGGTGTGTCTCTGGTAGGAGACACAGGAACTTGTAAGAGTGCATGAGTGGAAGAGGCAAGGAAGTTCAAGGGAGGTAGGTTTATCCCTTGTGACTTTGCAGTTCCCCACCCCTGCCAGTTCAGTGACCAGCCTCGTGCCTCACGACAGAGACACGCCTCCTCCACAGCCTCCCTTGTTCAGATTCGTGCATGGAATGCCACTAGCATCTCACACTGGAGGCTGGCAAATGCCCCCACACCTTTATGTGCACGAAGACAGTGAACAATGTTTATGTTTTGCCACTTTCCATTTGCATTGAGTGGGCAGAACAGATGGGGAAGTGAATGCTCCCTACCAAAGGGATGCACCCAATTAAAAACTTTCTGACTCTGTGTGCTAACGAGGCCTTCTTCTGCTCTAACTGTGTGGGCGTTTATGCTTCCCTTGATGGATCTGGGGCCCGACTGAAGGCTTGAACAGAGCAGCTTTATATTCTGCAATATGTTTTTCTCTCCAACGCAAGGATAGTTCCCAGCTGCCCTAAAATTATATTGAATACAGCTGCAGTGCATGCTGGGAGAAATTCCCAGGCATACCCATAGTTTTTTTCATTGCTGCAAAAATTCAAATTTGCATTTCCTAATTTCAGTCTTTATGTTGTCATTTTTATGGGAATTTGGAGTTAGGGTCCTAGCAGGCTAATTGAAATCTTGCAAAGATTTGTATCAATATTCATGAACAAGACCAAGGTTTTCATTTTTTATTATTATTAAAAAAAGGGAGTTCCTCAAAATCAGTATGTTAAAATAAAACTTGGCAACAGCGAATCTTTTAAATTTCAGATTCAAATGTTAAAAATGCAGCAGGGATTCAGATTTGTGTAACGTTTTCACTTTAGCTGTAAATATGCAAAAGGTTTTTAGTGGGAGGGACAGATATGGAATGAACAGAGACATGCAAACTTTCTCTGGCCTGCCAGATTCTACACACCTGCCAATTCCCTTGGCTCCTTTCTCTGTCCCCATCTTGTAGCTTGCTTCTCTACTGATCTGTTTCATACAAAGTGCTTGACTGAGGCTTTATAAACCTTGCTCCTAGTCTAGATACCCAAGCTAAACTCAGCAAGAGCCAAGTTGCTTGAAGAAAGCTGAACTTTTTTTTGCAAGAGCTCAGCTCGATTTGAGGCTAATGTGCATAAAAGATGAAAATGAAAATCCTCGTTATTACATATTTCTACAGGGCTGATTATTTGTGTATATTTTTAAAATTTACAGATGGATGTTTTATAATGGCCTATCTATATTTGTAATGCCTAATAAAGGATTGGCGAAGTAAGCATAAAAGAAATAATCTGATATAAATTAATTGATAACACCAGGGATGCGGGTGGCGCTGTGGGTTAAACCACAGAGCCTAGGACTTGCCGATCAGAAGGTCGGCGGTTTGAATCCCTGCAACGGGGTGAGCTCCCGTTGCTTGGTCCCTGCTCCTGCCAACCTAGCAGTTTGAAAGCACATCAAAGTGCAAGTAGATAAATAGGTACTGCTCCAGCGGGAAGGTAAACGGCGTTTCCGTGCACGGCTCTGGTTCGCCAGAAGCGGCTTTGTCATGCTGGCCACATGACCAAAAGCTGTGCGCTGGCTCCCTCGGCCAATAAAGCGAGATGAGTGCCGCAACCCCAGAGTCAGCCACGACTAGACCTAATGGTTAGGGGTCCCTTTACCTTTACCTTACTGATAACACCAAGGTTGCAGGTTCAATCCCTATATGGGACAGCTGCATTGCAGGGTCGTTTCCAACTCTGTAATTATATGACTCTATGATTCTCCATTTGTGGGTGTCCCCTTTTGGGGGTGGGTGAGGAATCTGTCCTGAAGCCCTTAATTTCATAGAAACCCTGTCCCAAATGGCTAGAAATTCTCCCCAAGGATTCATAATCCCACCGGCGTTATTTATTCCCTTTCAAACTCTTTTGCATCTCAATCACATAAAGAAATTGGAAATTAAAGGAAGAACAAAATGTTTATCCCCAGCTTAACTGATCAGGGGTGGCAGCAATCCACTAGCTATATTATTCCTTACTACTGTGTGAGATGAGAAGAGAGATGTCATATAGTATTTCCCCCCACTGGAACCGGGAGGTCTAATCTGTTTTATGAATCGTGCTGGGTCTAGGGATTATTTTTTTTGGGGGGGGGGGGTCCTTGAACAAGTTGTTGTTTGTGGACTTCTCCTTGAGTTGACTAACCTCTGTTGCTGCCCACCTGCTCGCCTCTTCAAAGTGTAGCCACACTTATGATCCCTAGCATGACATTGGCTTTTCCCCCACAACTGCTGCACCCTGGGCTAATATCATCATTGATCTGGAGATGGCACCATCGAATCAGTGGCACACGCCCTTTTGGACCACACTCTTTATAAAGATTTGAGGAATGAGATTATCACCCCTCTTTTATTGTCCATTCCGAGTCACCCAACCACTGCCGCAGTGTCCTTTCTCTTGGCAGATCAAAATAAGCAGATGACAGCAAAGGTTGCCAGGTTTTTAGCTGGGGGAATCTGAATAAGGTCCACTATTTAACTGTTGATTCAGGACCCTAAAGTGTGTTTTGTATAATCGACTTTTTGTTCCTGTTCTTTGTATGTCACATTGTTCTTTTCTTGCTATGGCTGATGGCTGATGCAAATAAAGATTTATTCATTCATTCATATCATAGCTGTCTGCTATGACCCCCTCCAAGGCCTCCTTCTTGGACAATCACTTACAATTCAGACCAGGGACAGCCCACCCATTAGGAGGAGTGAATCCACTACCCCAGATGGTGCCCCCATGAGTGCCCCACTGCCTCCACCATAGGCAGGAGAGCCAGTGTGGTGTAGTGGTTAAGAGCGATAGACTCGTAATCTGGTGAACCAGGTTCGCATCTCTGCTCCTCCACCTGCAGCTGCTGGGTGACCTTGGGCTACTCACACTTCTTTGAAGTCTCTCAGCCCCACTCACCTCACAGAGTGTTTGTTGTAGGAGAGGGAAAGGAGAATGTTAGCCACTTTGAGACTCCTTCGGGCAGTGATAAAGCGGGATATCAAATCCAAACTCTTCTTCTTCTTCAATGCCGCCATCAGCAAGAAATAGGTGAGATTTCATTGGAAATCGATGCATTTGCCAGCCCCTCTTCTCGGGGGTGGGGCTGCATGGCAGCAGGGGCAGGGGGGCATTTCCTGTTTCACTTCAAGCAGCGAAATGCGACATGCCGCCCCTGCCATTAGCATATTCATGAAGTTAGAATTCCCTGCTCCCAATGCGCATCATGTTCCTCTTGCTTACATTGAATTGCATTTGCCATTTTACTGCCCATTCACCCAGGTGGGAGAGATCCTTTGGGAGATCCTTGCCACCTCTTTTTCTTTCAACCACCCCAAACAATTTGGCACCACCAGCAAACTTGACGACTTCACTGTTCACTCCTAACTGAGGGTTGTTTCTGAACGGGTTATGAAGCACAGATCCTGATGCTTGGGGTGGGGTGGGGTGGTTCACTCAATTTTTACAAGCTGCCATTGGGAAAACTGTCCATTTATTCTCTGCTTCCTGTCTTTTATGGGCATCTGGGAAGATTGCCCACTGGGCAAGTCTGAGCAGATTGGCACATATAGAGAGCCAGGTGGAGATGGCAGAAGGGGATGACAGGCTTCTTTAATTTTCAGAGGCAGACCCTCCCCAGCTTTAAGTCCTCTCTGGGATGCCAAGCTTTTTATCTCTACTCTCCGATGGGTCTTGCGGGCACCAAGAGGCAGATTTCAGGCAGGGCCACTGTGTGGCACTCAGCTGGCCAGCCAGTCAGCTTGGGCCAGTGTCAGAAGAGGCATTAGAATGCAAAGTGTCAGGAAGATGGAATTATTAAACTTGCAGATAGCAATGGAGGTTCCTTTGTGAGCTGGGGAGATGGGAAATTATGCCGAAGCGATGCATTGCAAATCACCCAGTGCCAGGTAGAGAAAGGGGGGGGTGTCTTTTTATTCAGCTGGCCCTGCAAGCTTTTTCTGTTATTTGGTATGCAGAGGCATCCCTTTTGGGGGGGCGGGGGGGGGGAGAAGCTAGCAATTTTCGGCCCTGATTGGCAGGCTGTCCGGCGCCAATAAAGATATTTGTTGGGCTTTTTCTTTCTTTCTTTCAAAGAAGTGCTCACCGACTGAAATCTCACTTTCGTATTTTCCATTACAGAAGAAAATGAAACTTGGAACGCTTTTGCCCATTAAGGCTCCTTACCCTGCGTGCAAATGGCAGTGCTCTAGTGACATGAAAGGAGAAACACTGAAGGCTGACGCCAAGACTGGAGCAGGCACACAGCAAGGAGGAGCAGGTCCCCCTTTGCTGGGGACTGCGGCGGTGGGGGTGCTGTTTGGAGCCATCTAAGCTGCAAAAGTCAAAAGGAGAGGGTGAGAATTTAACCCTCTGGACTCAGTCAGCTAAGTTTCAAATAGTTCCCCAAACCATAGCCCCGACCCTAGGACACTGTTTCCCATATCTGGGTCTCCAGCTGTTTTTGGACTACAACTCCCATCATCCCTAGCTAGCAGGAACAGGGGTCTGGGATGATGGGAATTGTAGTCCGAAAACAGCTGGCGATCCAAGCTGGGGGAACTCTGCTCTAGGACTTGTTATGGATTCCTCACAGGCCATTAAGGAAAGCTGCTTATGCAGTGGGACTGCAACAAAATGTTGCAGCATGTCCTCCCTGCTAAAAGCAGTGTTCCTGTTCATCGTTCCAAACAAAGCTGGAGCTGTGATGGTCCCAGGCAGAAAGGGGAATTCTTTGTGGGAATGGGAGGAAGCCCTGAGGGTCTTTGAAGGCAAGGGTTATAGAATCATAGAATTGTAGAGTTGGAAGGGACCACTAAGATCATCCAGTCCAACCCCCTGAAATGCAGTAATCTTTTATCCAACGTAAGGCTCAAACCCACAGCCCTGAGATTAAGAGTCTCATGCTCTACCAACTGAGCTATCCCAGGGCTCTGATGAGAAGTTTGTGTTTTGGTATTATATTTAAAAAAAACATTTTTAGCTTTCATACACCGCTTCAGGGACTTCAAGCATTTCAGATATACCAATGCATAAATCCTTGCAGCAGTCCTGCAAGGTGGGACAGCTTCATCCCCATATTGCAGATGTGGGGGCTAGGCTTACCTAAGGCCAGTCAGAGGGTGCACTGAAGAGATGAGATCTGAACCGGGGCCCCATGGCTCACAGCTCAGCCTCTTAACCAGGGAGCCCTGATACTATTTCCAAATGTGCAGAAAACAGTCCGTGACTGGGCATCTCTTGCAAGCACCGGATGACTGCAGGTGGCCACTTTCTGGTGTGTGTGTGTCTGTGTGTCTGCCTCCCATTCTCCATGCTTTATTACAGCTGTGTCTAGATTGCAAGCAACCCAACCCCTTTTCCCCCCCAATCCAAGAAAGAAAGGAGGAACATCTGTTCGCACAAATGCCTTTCTAATTTCTCCTTCACTCTCACTCAGAGTCTGGGTTAAACAAGGCCCCTGTTCAAGCTTGTACAGTATTTCATTTTGGAACGGTTTCAAAGGGAGGCTCGGAGGCAAGAGCGAGGACGGATGATGGCCACGGGTGGATAAATCTTTCATAACCCTCTGTGTGTGAACTTTTCCAGGCCTGGATCCCAATCACACAACAGAGGGGTGGGGGTGGGGAATGGGAAAGAGGGTGGAGAGAGGGAGAGAAAGAGAGAGATTGGATTCCATAATAACAAACACCTTTGCGGCAGCTCATTAAAATCAACTGGGTTTCTGAAGCACAGCAGAGCACTTGTGTGGATAAATACTGCAATCTCAGAGACTGAAGTATTTTCACATCTGAGTTCTCTCTGCAGATGATGGTTCCTGCTCCCTTTCTAATCCCCTTCTCCCTCCAACCCCAACCCTCCTCCTCCTCCCCTCCCCGGAACAATTTTAGCTGATGACTTCAATTAGCAAAAGGCATCAGAAAACCAAAGTCGGAGGAAAATGCCTCCAACCCCCCCCTCTTTTTCATGTTTTACAAATAGTGTCACAAACTAGAGATGAGAAGGGAGGGCGAAGGAGACAAAGTGGGTTTACAGAAGATGACAAACTGCCAAGAAAGGGGGGAGGTATCAGAAAAGGAGGGGTGGGGAGGGAGCAGAGAGAGGAAGAGCAATTCCAGGCCCTGAAATTTCCTTCCACTAGTCTATTTGCTCTTGTCATTTCCCATTTACAAAGGAAATGTCTCCCCATTTGGCACTTTGGTGACCAGCTGGAAATACAGCAGCCGTTCTTCCCTTATTTCCTAAAGTGCTGCTGCTGCTGCTGCTGCTGCACCAGTCATGGGAGAACCAGGTACTCACACTGGACTTCCAATTGCCTGCGCCATTCATTTCCATCAGCACCTGCTGTGCTGGATGGAAATGCAGTAAAACATAACAAAGATTCATAGAATCCATCTGCAGCCCCCTTTCCCCAAAATCTGAAGCCAAAATTTGGGATTTTCTTCTTCTTCTTCATTCCTCCCCATTCACCAAATTACAGCTTGGAATTTCAAAGACATGTAGCCGGATTCGAATGTGTCTAAATGAGCCAGAAATAGCTGGAATTGAAAGGCTACCACATGTTGAGATGCTTTGCCCAAGAATTGAAGATTGAACACTGGGCGGTTATCCCAAATCATTGGGTCCATACTTGGTTTCTGTAATCACAGAATTGCAGACTCTCCAAGTGTCTCCGTTTTCCATGGACAGTCCCTGGTTTACAGAAGCCGTCCCAGTTTCTGATTTGATCCTAGAATGTCCCGCTTTTCCTTAGGACGTCCCTATTTTCATTGGAGAAATATTGGAGGGTATGGAGTTGTCTAATCCCAAGCCATCTGAAGGCAGCCCTGTATAGGGAAGTTTTTAAAAAAATGTTTAACGTTTTATTATGTTTTTATATATGTTGGAAGCTGCTCAGAATGGCTGGGACATCCCAGCCAGATGGGCAGAGTATAAATAGTAAAATTATTATTATGGAATATGATGTTCCTATTTTCACTGGAGAAATGCCAGAGGTATGGAATTGTAGAGTTGGAAGGTACCCCGAGTCATCTAATCCAACCCCCTGCAAGGCAAGAATCTTTTGCCCAATATAGGGTTTGAACGCATGGCCTTGAGATTAAGAATCTCATGCTCCACTGATGGATGAAGGCCTTCTCCCTGCCTCCCATAAGAGTAAGAGAAATGGTGCTGCTTACCATTTATGTCATGCTTTTTGGTGAGATTAGCCTCACACATCATCCCAAGAAAAGGCCCTAGAATCTTTTTTCTTTTCTTTCTGTTGCAAGGGATCTTGGTGGGTTCAGCTGAGGGCTTCTCAGAGCAGGGACTGGGTTCCCCCTTGTAGTCTGTAACTGTTTTGCTGCATCACCACCAACACTTTCTCAAGTCATCCATCCTGTTGCTCCCAGAGACCTGCCAGAAGCTCTTCTGATGACACTACAGTCTCAGTATAAAACTGCCACAGTTCAGTAAATGTCAACTCTGCCATAAATCCCTCTGAACTCCTCCCTCCCTGCTTTACCCCAATGTTATTTCTTCCCTACACCCCACCAGCAGCCCCTCAGCTCATTCTGGGGCATGTTGCTAGCGGAAGCAAGTTGGTCCCTTCACCCTCTGATTGAAGGTCACTCGCCATTCTGCCAAATAGCTCCCTTTCGGCTGTCTAGCAGCGGGACAACCGAGCTGGCTTTTGTCCTTCCAGGCCTCATTGCATGGTTCTCTCCATAGAATGTCATTCTCCCCCCCTCCCTTTCTGAATGGCAAGAGTGAGGTAATGCATTGGAGATGTGAACTTTAGCAGAATGGTAGCATAATGCTGACAATGACGCTTATTCAATCGTTCAAATATCTTAACAGCTCAGATAATGCCATCAGAAAAACGCCCGCCACTTAAGTGCACTTCATCACGCCAGGCTGACCTACTTGCCAGCTCTCTAAAGAGACACAATTATTCCAAAGTGTGGACTTTCCATTCCCGGGCCTGAGCGAGGCGTGGATGGACTCGGTCAGAAAAATCACCTTCCAAACTTATGTTCAAGCACGATGGCTGTGGAGACCATTTTTCTTTAGAAAGTTTAGGCAATGTCTGGCAAAGAACTCTCTTGCTTAGGTGTGTCGGCAGGAACTTTGCACATGCCATTTGCCTCCCAAGGCATGACTGGTGGCAATGTGTAAGAGGGTTCTTTCTCTGTGGCAGAATCTCATCTATGGAACAACCTGCCCCAGCAGGTTAGAATGCCTTCTTATTTATCTGTTCCGCTGCCATTGGGAGGCTGTTCTGTTTAAACAAGCCTTTTCTGTCTCTCCTGTGAATGTTAGATTTTATTAATCATCATCCCAAGCTCTCTGGGGCCCAGTTTTATTGCTGTTGTTCTGAATTGTATTGGTATTTAATTGTTTTCACAATGAGACAATAGTTAACTTTATTTTTAGGTTGGTTTTGATACTTCGTTAGCTGAGTTTTAGAGGGGGAAAGTGAGTTAGACATTTGGGTCTGAATAAATAAATAAAATCAATACGTAGAAGGGACTTGCCTATGTTTGGCTTACAAGGAAGAATATCGCAGCCGGTTACTTATGAGTAATCTAGCAGATTGTGGTCAGCCAAACCAACATTTGTTGGACTACCCATTATTCTTGAGAATTGGACCGTGCCGGCTGGGGTTGATGGCAGTTAGTTCTACATCATCTGGGCTGGGAAGACCACAGGTTAGCCATCTCTCGTTACTTCAATAGGGTTTTGTTTTTAGAGCACATTGTCAAATTAAGAGCACGTTGTCACGAAATTCATGGTAGCTGCTGCTGAAGCCAAAACAACAAAAAGTCTTCTGGCACCTTGGAGATAAGCATATTTATTATGGAAAAAACTTTAATGGACTAGAAGCTACTTCCTCAGATTCCTGCAGATGTGAACACAATGGGCTATACCTTTATCTGCCTTGTTACTCCTGTGGGAACGTTTTCTTGCTTGGAATGGGTTGGGCAATAAATGGTGGTCTTTGCACCTTTTAAGTCCTTCCTGGCCAGGGTGCTAAATAAAATAATCCAGGTTGGCTTCTCTGAAAGGAGTGCTCTTAAGACTTATACACACTTACCTTTCCTCTGCTCTTTCCAGGCACGGTCCATGATTTAAAGCTCTGTGTCCAAGCACCTCCCCTTCTTCTTCTTCTTTTACTCTGAAGATTTTCCCATGAAAATCTGCTCTTTAAAGCTCAGCCAGAGCAAACGTCAATCTACAGGGAATCCAAATGGACCTTTGGTCCAATTCAGCTTTAAAGAGTGTGCTTTTGCAAGGAAAGCTCGGGGCGAAGAATCCACCTAAAGCATAAAATAAATAAAAATGCTCAGACACAGAGCATAAAAGTGCAGACATCTGCCTGGAAAGAGTGGGGCAAAAGATAAGTGTGGGCAAGTCCTCAGTTTGGGGGATGGCCATTTAAGATAATGTTATTTTCTGCCCCTGTCATGTATAGTGAGCCAGAACTGACTCTGATGCTGAAGTCTCCCACCTGCAACACACCTCCTGCTGTCCTTAGAGGGGCACACTCCCAAGGGGCAGACCCTTGGGAGCGTATCCATTAGATCCTTATTCCACCACATGGGACTCAGCTGCCTGGAAAGCAGGACATGCTATTCTGAGGCAGTTGTCTATTGTGACGTTTGGTAATTTATCCCCTTTCAAGTGACATTTTATATTACACATTTCCCAGCACGTCCTAATTACAAGGTAAATAAACAGGGCCCCCCCTTCCAGTTATTTTGTGATGCTGTTCTATTACCAGCAAAGGGAGACTCCATGAGAAGGACGTGACAGGCAGTTCTTGCCAGCCAGCAATTATGTTTATGGCTTCCTGTGCTTTTCCTTGCAGTGGTCCTTCGTGCTGAGGATGGTTTCCCTTTCTCTCTCTCTCTCTCTGCTTCCTGCTTTTGCGTCTTCTTTAGCCGCCTCCTTCCATCTTGGTCTAGTTATGTTTATCCTGGAGAAATGGAGAACTAGGGATGTCACAAGGAATAGGATAGGTGCACTCACAAAAGCATGCTTCCTCATGAACAGGGATGGAATGAGGAGGGCTTGCTCCACACAACCCATGAGTGCCTCCTGCCATCTTCACCCCCCAGTCCCCTCCATTGCACAGGGCAAGAGAAGGGGAGGCAGTAGCAGTGGAGGCAAAAATGGAAGATGCTTTGAACATCCATTTTCCATGTGGGATAAGGGGCTGGGACTACATTTTCCATCCCTCTCAATTGGGAAAATTACTCTATTTGCATCTGTTTCTTCTGGTTCCAGGGCCAGCAGAATTATGTGCAACCTTTTTTTGATACTCAGACAGTTTTACGCTGCTGCAGTGAAGCTTGAATGTCCCACCTTATTGCAAGATTGCTTAAGCAAGGTCCCAAAATCCTTGCTTCTCATTCTCTTTTATTCAACCTGATTTGCAGCAAGTCCATGAGGAGCTGTCCATAGTGCTGACCACCTGGGACTCTGCTTGGTCTTGAGCTTGGCCAGTCGATCTCTGAAATCTTCAGTCTGGAGTGGGACTTTACTCTTCACTTCTATACCCCCCCCCCCAAAAAAAAGATTAGTTCCTGGTGGTGTAAGAGTAAGAAGACTCTGCCATCAGAGAAACCTACCTGCTATATTTCTGCACAGGCTTCTCTTCTGACCAAGCCTCCTAACTGGAGAAAATGAAACATAGAATCATAGAACTGTAGAGTTGGAAGTGATCCCAATGGTCATCTAGTCCAAGTCCCTGCAATGCAAAAATTCCAACTAAAGCATCCGTGACAGATGGCCATCCAAGTTCTGCTTAAAAACCTTCAAGGGAGAAGAGTCTTCTGAGGAAATCCATTCCACTGTCAAACAGCTCTTACCATCATAAAGTTCTTCATGGTGGTTAGTTAGAATCTCCTTTCTTGTAACCATTGGTTTTGGTCTTACCCTGCAGAGCAGGAGAAAACGAGCTTGCTCCATCTTTACCCAACTCCTGCAACTATTCCTCATAAGACTTGATTTCCAGACCCTTGATCATCTTGGCTGCCCTCCTCTGCACATGTTCCAGCTTGACCAAATTCTTCTTAAACTGTGGTGCCCAGAACTGTACATAGTACTCCAGGTATAGTCTGACCAAGGCAGACTAGAGCAGGACTATTACAGTACTTCAGTTGACCGGGACACTATACTTCAGTTGATGCACTCTAGAATAGCATTATCTTCTTTTGCTGCTGTGTCACACTGTTGACTCATGTTAAGCTTGTGGTCTACTAAGCCCCCAGATCTTTTTCACATGTACTACTGACGAGCCATGTGTCTCCCATCTTATATTTGTGGAGATGATTCTAGGACCTTTACTGGTATCAGCATCAAACTGACCGGTTGGTAGTTACCTGGGTCTTCTTTTTTCACCATTTGAAGATGGGGACAACATTTCCTGCCCTCCAGTCTGTAGGGACCTCACCCTTTTTGTGTGTGTGTTTTTTTAGAAAAAGAGTTTGGACTTGATATCCCACCTTTCACTCCCCTTAAGGAGTCTCAAAGTGGCTAACAATCTCCTTTCCCTTCCACCCCCACAACAAACACTCTGTGAGGTGAGTGAGGCTGAGAGACTTCAGAGAAGTGTGACTAGACCAAAGTCACCCAGCAGCTGCATGTGGAAGAGCTGGGAATTGAACCCGGTTCACCTGATTACGAGTCCACTGCTCTTAACCACTACACCACACTGGCTCTCTGACCTCACCTGTTCTCTGATAATTCTCAAAGATTATAGACATAGGCTCCAATAATACACCTGCAAATGAAAAAATGACTAAAAGCAGGGGCAATGTCACAGTTAGGGAAGTATGTGGCATGCTATGTGGAACTGGGCTAGCAGAGAATCTTGCTCCCAGAAGCTCCCTCCTCCTGCAAGCCATCTGCCGTCCTTGCCTGGGTCTTGCACTACAGCTTGTCTGGCCTGATCGCCACAATTTCTTTTTTTCACTGCTCCTGATAAAAAAGTTAGATTAAGAGACAGCTTGCAGCTCCATGAGCAGAGATTCTCTCCCCCTCCAATATGGGAGCATTCCAAATTAAAACTTATCTTCTACTGGCCACAAATTGAATCAGCATTGTGAAGATCAGATGTGATGCCCAACATAACCAGGTTTTGTCAAGACAGATTCAAAGCACCAACCTCTGAGACATGTTGGGCTCAAAATGTCTTTTAACAAAGAAATGAAAGTGCTATGGTTGGAAGGAGGGGACTTTCTACTTCATGGACCAGCAGCCAGAGGAGTTTGAAGCCTTATCTATCTATAAAGATGAACAAAGATCTCCCACAACACCCATGGCCAATGTTATGCCACTTGAAATGTATTATTCAGTGCTGCTATTATTATTATTATTATTATTATTATTATTATTATTATTATTGAGATCTCTTGCCATTGAATGCATGAGTATGTGCGTTATGGACAGTTTTGAGTACGGCTTCCATAAGTCCGGAATTTCCCAGACATAGCTGGAATACTGTAGTCAGAAGCAGTGTCTGGGTGGGAAAACCTGGACATATGGCAACCCATCCCGGCAGTGTCATTTTTGGCAATGTTTCTTTAAAAATGGCTCAAAAACTTTGGGCAAAACTAAAAAAAGGCTCAAACAGCTTTGCCAAAAAGGCTCAGTTTTTGAAATATGGCAACCCTAGTTTTAAGGCAATTCCCAGAGTCCTCATCCATAACCACAGTATTCATGGAATTTTCATGGATACTTTAACTTCTCTGGCGGAAACTGCCCATGTTGCAGAGTTAAATAAATTGGTGCAACTTCTGTGAAGAAAGTAAGCATTTGCGGGGGTGGGAGGGGAATCTTCACACAGAAACTAGGGTGAGGACAGATTGTTTGCTGCAGGCAAGAAGGGAGCAGCAAGGCAAAGAGGTTTGGAGGCTGCCCACCTGTGCTGTCATCAGTCTTCATACCCAGCTTGTAAGCCTCCCAGACTCACCTGATTGACCACTGTAGAAAACAGAAGTATTAACCAGGTGGACCTTTGGTTTGGCTCAGCAAGACTGCTCTCACATTCTCCATTCTTGTGGCAAACAGGTTGTTGTTTTTTCTTTCGCAGTGGGTATGGAGCTACTGGGTGAATAGTCTTGGCATGCATTAGGAGCTTGTAGGACTAAGTAGGTGCTTGATTCCATCCATCCCTCATTCTTTAGATCAGGCATAGGTAAACTCAGCCCTGCAGATGTTTTGAGGCTGCAATTCCCATCATCCCTGACCGCTGGTCCTGTTAGCTAGGGATGATGGGTATTGTAGTCCCAAAACATCTGAAGGGCCGAGTTTGACTATGCCTGCTTTAGATCATTTCTCAGCATTCTGTCTTTCCCAAGCATGTGGGGAGAGGTAGATGAGGGAGGTGAGCAAGCAAGGCTTCTTCAGGAACTGCTGTGCGGCAGAGATATGTTCAGATGGACTTATAAAAGACACATACAGGATGATTAATTTGTCTATCGGTAAATCTCACTTTCCTCTGTCGTTTTCTTTGCATGTGCAAATTGGTCTTGGCATTAATTAAGCTGATTTCGTTACACTCTCTTTAATTTGTCAGGATAGTCTTTCTTTGCTGGACAAAGAGGAAAATGCTTTGGAGAACTGTCACAACTGCAGTTGTGTTGTGTGCTTGCCCCCTTTCCCTTAGAGAGCCACCCAGAGAAGAAGAGTCGTTATCAATTAGGCCTTTTTGCACGCCGATGAGCTTCGTCATTTGAGTTTAGCCAGATTTGCAAATACTGACAGAGTGAGTTGACCCTTTGTATACTTTCACTTTACTATACTGCTGTGCAAAGGAGGCTCGTGCCAGAACTGGTAACGAATCAGACTTTATTTTGCATGGGTCTCTTCTGAAATGAGGCCTTTTTAGGCCAAGGAATATCTTTAAATTTCATCTGTAATTGCAGAGCAAACAAACTCCTAAGCTCCATTCTCCTCCTCCTTTTTTTTCTTGCTGGCATCACATGGCTGAAATAGGAAAGAGAGTCTTACTCTCCTAATTAAGGCCTGGTTTGATTTCTGCAGTCTCTTCTGTCAGATGGTCTTTAGTCTTTCGGAGGTATTCTTCTGCTCGAGTTACTTAAAGCTTACTGGAACACCTATTTATAGTCGGCTCCCCCATAGTGATCTGCCTGAATTAAAATTATAACAGAGGGAGGGGGAGGGGGAAGAGGGAGAGTCTGTAACTAAGAAAGCATTACCACGGTGACAGGCGTTGCACATTAAGAAAAAGGCAGGCAGCCTTGCGATTCCCTCGGTGGAAAAATTAGATGAGAAAGAGAAACGCTTTAAGCCACCAGCTAGTTGGCATAACAAAACTGCACAACCCCCCTCCCTCCCTCCCTCCCATTCTCTCTCTTTTTTAAAGGACACCCTCCTACCTGATTTTGCCAGCTCAGTTTTGCAGCTGGGAATCTGTGGCTGTATCTCTGCTCTGTGGGAGCCCAGTCTGGACACCAGGGAAGCAGCAGCAGCTCCTCTCTCTCTGGTGTGGCCACTGGAGAGCAGAGAGAAGGGTACTGGCCGTTACTGGTTGAACAGCCTGCAGAGCAGGTGATTGAAAAAGCCTGGAGCTTAATGTTCCAAGAAGAGTTCAGTTTAGTGCTGCCAGGAGTGCATGAGGGTGGGAAATCAGCTGAGCCTCTCCTGACAGTTCCTCATATATTGAAGGCAACTGAAAAGATCCTGAACTAGATCCCAGGGCAGAAGATTTGTTCCCTTGTTGCAATAAGGCAACAAAAAGAGGACATGGTGGTGAAGGCTTTCCACTTTCTTTTCAGCTGCCCTCAACACTTATGTTACCAGATCTTTTTCAATGAACCCGGGGACACTTTTCAGCTTCAATGGGGACTGGTTTGTAAATCTGGGGACTGTCCCTGGGAAACGGGAACGTCTGGTAACCTTACTCAACACTGGTATCAGCTCTTTCTTGTTGGTTTGGGCATCAAGCCCGGAAGCAAGCAAAGCAAGAAGGATCTTAATAATAATTATTTTTAAATTTTATTATTTGTACCCCACCCATCTGACTGAGTTGCCCCCGCCACTCTAGGTGGCTTCCAACAAATATAAAAACATCAAGCATTAAAACATTAACTTCAGGTTAAGAGCATGGATTTGGGGAGGGGGTAGGCAGAATGGTCTGAAGCTTTTCAGGTGCAAGTTTGTTAGCGATAAAGGAGAACAGCCACCAGAAGGAAGCAAAGTTGTGCTGGAGGCAAATTCATACTATTGGTGTCATTAAACAAATAAAATTCAAACCCCACAAACTTCATTATCAGGTATTCTCAGCATGACTGAAAACGAAGAGAAGTGGAGGGAATGAAGATAAATCTTACAGAGCTTCCACAGGGTAGGAAGAGAGGAGTCCCACATACCCTGCAATCTGGTTTTGCAAGATCCCTCAAAGAATATACAGTGGTACCTTGGTTTAAGAACAGCTTAGTTTATGAACAACTTGGATAAAGAATGCTGCAAACCCGGAAGTAGGTGTTTTGGTTTGTGAACTTTGCCTTGGAAGCAGAACATGTTCCACTTCCTGTTGAGTGTGTTCTGTTTGTAAATTGAGTCCCCCGCTGCTAATTAGAGGCTTCCTGTTGAGTCTGTTGGCTGTTGAGTCCCAACCACCCACACAACACAGAGGTGACATTTGGAGCTTTTGTTTTTGCTATTATTTGCGTTTTTGTTTGCATGGCTTTTTCATTTTTTTGACTGTGACTTGTTCTTCATTTTATGGGACTGACTTGTGACTGTGGCTTGTTACTTGGTTTTTGTGACTTGTTTTTGTGACTGTGTGGAACCCAGTTCAGCTACTGGTTGATTGTGTGACTGCAGAAATGGATAAATGCCCTCCACCCAAACAATGACTATCATCAGTGCACGTAAGGGAATTTTTTTTTTATCATCTTACAATACTGTCTTATTTATTTTACAGTACAGTACATTGATTATTGCCTTCATTTTATGGATCAATGGTCTCGTTAGATAGTAAAATTCATGTTAAATTGCTGTTTTAGGGGTTTGTCTGGAACGGATTAATCAATTTTCCATTACTTTCTATGGGAAAGCGTGCCTTGGTTTAAGAACACTTTGGTTTAAGAACGGACTTCTGGAACAGATTAAGTTTGTAAACTGAGGTACCACTGTACCCTCCTGCTTTGAATATCTAAGAACAATTGAAGATCCCTGTCAGATCAGACAAAAGGCACATCTAGTCCAAAATTCTGTTTTCACGGTGGCCAATCAGGTGCCTCTTCTGGGAAGCCCGGGAGCAAGACTTGAGCTCAACAAGACTTTTTCCACTTTTGATCCCAAGCAACTTGTATTCAGAGGTGTACTGTCCGTGACAGTGGAGGCAGAACATAGCCATCATAACTAGTAACTATTTGCAGCCTCATCTCCCACAAATTGGTCCAAACCTATTTCAAAGTCATCCAAATCAATGGCAATCACTACATCACATGGGAACAAATATCATAGTTTAACTATGTGAAGAAGCACTTGCTTTTGCCTGTCCCAAGTCTTCCAATATTCTGCTTTCTTGGATGATCCCATGAGGTCCTAGTACCTCTTTGCCCTGGCTTTTAACACTTGAAGTGTATATTTTTAGGACCCACCATATTTTTGTAATTGTAAGTGGTTTTAAACTGTTTTAAATATTGTGTTGTAATGTCCCACCCTGGGACCTTAGGGTGATGGGCAGCTAATAAATTTAAGAATTAAATAATAAAAATATGATGGGGAGAGTTTGTCTGTTCCCCCACCATGCCTAATTTTATGCACCTCTATCCTTTCTCACCTTTTTTTCTAAGCTGAAATGCCCCCTTTAGGGGAGTTGCTGCACCAGCCCCCAGATCATTTTCATTGCATGACTTTTCATGGCCAACTTAAACATGGTCTCCATGTTCGGGGGTGGGGGGGTGGGACTTAGAATGTAAATTCAGACCAGGCATTGGCCTCAGAAACAAGCATCTTGGATAGCTCAGTTGGTTAGAGTGTGGTGCTGATGATGCCAAGGATGTGGTTTCGGTCCTCATGTGGGGCAGCTGCATATTCCTGCATTGTGTGGGGTTGGACTAGAGATCCTCAGGGTCCCTTCCAACTCTAGAATCCTATGACTGTATGATCTTGGGATAAAAAGATGGAATGGGCACTACTTGAAAGGGAGATGTATCAAAGCTGGTGATTGCAGGGCTGTGGACCTGGTGGAAGGTAGCAGATGTTTGCAGGGTGTATATGGAAGATGGCAACAGTGTGAATTATCAGCCAGCTTCAGCCTTGTCACATCCTGTTGCCAGATGATTGCCTGCTTTCTAAAACAAGGGCTGTGGTGGAGAGGAGATATGTTTCAAAAAATGTAAGAATTGAAGAATAGCCCTGATGGATCAGCTCAAAGGCATCCCGTTCTCACAATGGCCAACCTGATGCATATAGGAAGCCCATCCTGACTGCAACTGGTACCCAAGAAGCATCACTTCCTCTGGTGGAGGGGGGGTAGAACACATCTGCCAGGGTTTATCAGTGTGACTGCACCCTGACAGGTCCTCTTGCATCCTTAAGGTACAATATAGTTTAGGTCAAGATGCCCCAATCCTTGAATTCCACCTGCACCCTAAAACAGGACCTCAGGTTTCCTTCCAACTCTATGATTCTATAGTAGCCTAGAATCACATTTCACAAATGTGATACATTCTGAAGGGCTGAAGAACTGTTATGCAGCACAGCTAGCTGGGCAGCAGATAGCTTCAAGAGGCCACTCTGGTTTTTGCAGGAGCAAGTATGAGCCAGTTGCATCACTGAAATCACATGGATGACAAGTCAGCATATGTTTGAATAGCCCTTTATGAAAGCTGGGGCAATAAACACAGTGTTACAGACCAGGTTTTGAACCTGGCAATGTACTAGGGTCTGTAGGGCTTGAATCTCATGGCCTGTTGTTGGCACTGAGCCAAGTGAGCTGTCTGAAACGGTGTGCTCAGGCTTCAGCAATGCCCTCTCCAGGCAGAGAAGAGGTGGTATCAATTGCAGAGCTAAGTTAGCCACCTTGCAGTGTGCTTGCTCCGCTAGTGAAACATATTGAGCTAGTGAAATGTTGCTGTGCAAGAGATTGCAAAAGCAGTTGGTCTGTGTACCGGATGCAGCCAATGCCTGAGACCTGGACTGAATGGGGGTGGGGGGCAGTCCTGCACATTGCTTGACTGGATTGCTGTTGCTCAGGTGACCCAGAGAAATCTGGGGCTGTCAGGAGGCGGTGGGGTCAGACAGGATTGAGAGGCAGGCGCTGGGGTGGGAAGAAGGGAAAAATGCAAAAATTCCTAAGAGAATAAGAGTGACTTACCTGACTGGCCATGTCATTGTGGGAGAAAGTAGGAGTGGAGTGGCAGTGGATGCCTTTGAATGCAGAGTGCAGACCTTTCTGCCTAGTCTCTCCTCCCCATCCAGTGCCCCATTCCTTGAAGCCACACTGTGCAGGATGGATATCCAGAGCTCCAGTGCTGAGCTTTCCCTGGCATGGCCCATTAGCACAGCAGTAGCAGCAGCAGGTGCAAGGAAGAAGCCGAGAGGTTGAACTCTGCTCCAATTTGCAGGGCTAGAGTTAATATTTGCTGAAAGAACTGGTCTGCCAATCTGTTACAATGATGCCTATTTGCAAGTGTAGCTGAATTCTCATTAGCCAGCATGAGACATGGGCACGGGGAAGGCGCAGGGAGCAGATTTGCCGCTGTTCCAGAAAATGGAGGGAGCCGCAGCCTTTGCTGACATTCTGAGCGCTTCAGCCCCTCGTCCTGCTAGAGATGCAAAATAGAAATGGCATTTCTGAATACGCCTGACAGTTCGCTCCGTGTGGAACCTGTTGAGTTGTGACTCGGTGCGTTTCGGAAGCACTGATAGAATTAAAGAAATGTTAATGCATGCAGCTCGCTTGCCGGCTGCCTTGCCACACACCCTCCCAGTAATAAAGAGTTCGCAGCTGAACAAAAAAAATCACAGGTTGCTCTTTGGCGACAATTCTGATGGTTTTATTCTGGGTGGCTAGGAATGTTCATGAGATCATGTAGCCTCAGGGATGGAAGGCATCAAAGGCCCAGTCCTCCACATTCATGACTCCTTGCAGGCCTTTCTGTGCCCCCCCCATTTAATTTGTGCAACTCAGACCACTATATATAATGTCAAAAGCAGACCAATGCCCAGAGTGGTGTTGATCAGAAAGCAGAGAATCTGAGAATTGGAGGAGAGGTTGTGGGACATCTCAGCCAACCCCTCTTATTCCATGTTGGAAGTCCAGAGCTGGTCTGGATGTGGACAATGTAGAAGTGTAACTGAAGATAGGGAGGTCTAGGTATGGGTAGCTTCTGAAATGGAGGTAAGCAAGGAATTAGCAACGGACTGCCGCTGAGTACCATGATGGAAGAAAAGGAGGATATAAAAATCACATATAGACAAAACTGGGGTTAACAATACAAAACTCATAGTAGCAGAGACCTTACAAGCAGGGGCGTCTTACCCATAGAGGCTAGTGGCATGGGGCGCTAAGTTCTGGAGGGCGCCAGGGAAGAGGTGGAGGCTGGACGCAGCACCCCCTGGCATCAGCTTACCGCCCTCACCCTTGCCCACCTCCGCCATGCTGCGCCAAAGCAGCGCCGCGCCTGGAGCCTCCATCTTCCATGGCCACCGCGGCACAAAGCAGCCAGCTGAGCTGGGAGGCGCCGTGTCCAGCCTCAGCCTCTTCCCTGCCGGAGGAGCTGCCCTCCAGCCACTGCCCTCCAGCCGCTGCCCACCTCCAGCCCTGCCGGCAGTGCCGTCCTCCCTAAAAAACTCTGGGAAATGGGGGGGAGGGAGCTTTGCACCACGGTGCTGGGTATGCTTGGGACGGCCCTGCTTACAAGAGGCAGTTCAATCTCCCATTATCCCACTGGATAGCTCAGTTGGTAAGAGTGTAGTGCTAGTAACACCAAGGTTGCAAGTTCGATCCCTGTTTGGGGTAGTTCATTGCAAGGGATTGGACTAGATTGTGGGTGGGCAAAATAAGGCCCAGGGGCCAGATCCAGCCCAATTGCCTTCTAAATCCGGCCCACGGGCGGTCTGGGAATCAGTGTGTTTTTACATGAGTAGAATGTGTCCTTTTATTTAAAATGTATCTTTGGGTTATTTGTGGGGCATAGGAATTCTTTCATCCCCCCCCCCAAATATGGTCTGGCCCCCACAAAGTCTGAGGGACAGTGGACCGGCCCCCTGCTGAAAAAGCTCACTGACCCCTGGATTTGATGATCCTCAGGGTCCCTTCCAACTCTAGAATCCTATGATTGTATGATCTTGGGATAAAAAGGTGGAATGAGCACTACTTGAAAGGGAGATGTATCAAAGCTGGTGATTGCAGGGCTGTGGACCTGGTGGAAGGTAGCAGATGTTTGCAGGGTGTGTTTGTATATGGAAGATGGCAACAGTGTGAATTATCAGCCGGCTATGGTGGAGAGGAGATATGTTTCAAAAAATGTAAGAATAGAAGAATAGCCCTGATGGATCAGCTCAAAGGCATCCCATTCTCACAGTGGCCAACCTGATGCATATAGGAAGCAGGACCTGAGTGCAAATGTTACTCAGAAGCAGCACTTCCTCTGATGGGGGGGGGGGTTAGAACACATCTGCCAGGGTTTATCAGTGTGACTGCACCCTGACAAGTCCTCTTGCATCCTTAAGGTACAATATAGTTTCGGTCAAGATGCCCTAACCCTTGAATTCCACCTGCCCTCTAAAACAGAATCTGTACATCTGAAGGAAGCTCCCCATATAGTTTCTCCTCTATGCCATCTGAATTATTCAAAAAACCTGCTGCTTGCTAGTTAATCTGGTGATCTAATCTGTGTCTTCAGGCTAATCTTTGACTTCGTGGGAGTCGCTAGTTAATCTGCACATTGGAAAGCCTGGCTTTTACTTTGGCGTTCAAATGAGATTATGTCCCTCAAGATCTTTCCTTGCCTCTGAATACCTGAAAAAGAAGCAAGACGAGACTATGAGCAATTCGCTTCACCTTGCCACCCCCACCTCCCAGAAGGTACACAAAACCCCTTTTGTGTGGCTCACTTTGCATTTCCTCCGAGCAGCTGCAAAAGGGTGACTTCGGTTGCGAAGAGGCAAAGGAGACTGACAACCAGCGACTCTAAACCAGCTTTCCACCTCCTCCCCCGCTTCACCCTTTCCCTTTTCACACACTCCTAATTTTGAGCCTTGAACGTTTTTAATGACAGCCTTCATGGTTTGATGGAGGATTTTACACTAATGCAAGGCATTACCTAGTTCATTTGGATAGAAGAGGGTATAATTTTGCACGGTCAAAGTCATTGCTATTTGAGCTAAAAGTTCCATTATGCGGCACCACCCACCCAGGTTTTGAGAGCCAGGAGAGATAAGTACTGTTTCATTAATGGCTGTCCTCAGGAGCTTATTCAAATGATGGCTCCTGGTCTGGTCTGGAGCGGAATATGGGAGAAGCGCCAGAGGACTGGGGGAGCTTGATGGATGAGTGGCTTACAGAGAGTTGGCTGCAGGGTGGGCAACAGCCCTCTTCCAGGCAGCTTTCTCCAAAGCAGTAAGTTTCTGCGAAGCTTAATCTCCCCCTGACCTCCATGCTTGGCTTGTTCCCTTAGAGGAATATCTGGTCAGATATGGAAGAGAGAATTTAGGAAGAAGTGCTGGTCTGCACTCAGTTGCACTTGTTCTGTGTAGAGAACACTTCTGCTCCTGCTGCTGCCCACCTTAGGGGAGACGGCCGGATCCTGGCTAGCCAAATATATTTGTAGACCGGTTTTTCAACTTAAACAACAACTCCCTCTACCCCTTCCTGGGAGTACTCTCCACGAAAGGAAAAAGAGACAAGGGAGGTTTGATTTTAATTTGTTTCTTAGCAAAATAACGATTAGGAAAGAAACTGACCACCCCAACAGTCTGGCTCTGCCGCTTCAGCCCTGTAGACACAAAGCCCATAGGAGAATAATGACTGTGATTTGCTGTGATTAAAAGTTAGAGGTGTCTGACAAAATGAAAGACCTCTCCCCCCCCCCCCTGCCTGCAATCCTCTCCTCTCTCTTTTCTGTCCTCCCCTCTCTCAAGTTTGGGGCAGTTCACCTGTCAGCTTGGTTTCATTTCTCAGAAAGGGAGGGGAGTTTGTTCATTCGGTTTTCTGGAAAAAAAATGAGCTACTCGCTCACCCACCATGGCACACCTTGGTCAACAGCACGTTCCAATTTGGGAATGTGAGAGTCTGCCCCAAATCACCCCAATTAACCTCATTCTTTTGGGTACAGATTAAACCAGCAGACACTCCTTTTATAAGTCTGCCTTTCGTGATACTTCCAGGTGCTGAGTATTTTTTTTTTTTTAAAAAGAAGAGACCAATGATTAAGAAAGCTCACAATAACAAAAGCATATTCAATAAAGCATAGGCCTAGAAATTGCGGCAGAGAAAATCTCACCATTCGGCATAGAATACAGTATACTCAGATGTTAAACATAAAAGGGTCTCTTGGCTTGGTAGTGGAAAGACATTAAGGAAGATGCTCTGTAGGTGGGCTCCTGGACTTTTAATAATTGTGTGGAAAAGGGAAGTTGGGCAGGTTACTATTCAAGTATCCTTTCCATTTGACCAGCCTCATGTCAGGCAAGAGAGCTGAGCAGCACAGCTGATGGGACTGTCACAGTTTTCAATGGGACATAAGACCAACTTAGTTTAGTTGGATTGGATCTCCTTTTGAATGATGGAGGAGCTCAAGGGCATTTCAGAACTATCTTCTTGTTAGCTCCTCCCTTTGGTCACTTATGCGGCATGGCCTTTAAGCGATACACGGAGCTGTGCCTTCTGTGCATCAGCCGAACAAGCGTTTGCCTTCTTCCGTCTGCTGTTCTTTTCTATTCCTGGCATAACAGAGAGCTGTCAAGAATTTCAAAACAAAACCTCACCTGCCAACCCCACCTGTGCTCCAAACCAGCCTTGTGCAGATTATCTGATTCCTGATGGATGAGCACAGGCAGCTGCAACCGGTTCGGACAAAAACACTTTGCACCTGGCCTGTAAACCCCAAGTTGATCCCCATGCACCAGCACACCAAGGCAGGCCTGTTCCTGACCACACTCCTGCACCACCGGAGTGGGGAATACGGATAATACGTTTGGAGCCGCTCCAGATGCGTCGGAAAGCAGCCCCGCCATCACTCCAAACAGCTGGTGTGCCTAATCCCTTTTCCAAGCAAAGTAGCAAAATATATAATTATGAGCTCTGCAGACAGGGAGACGGAGAGCAAACCATTAGGCTTGTTTATGGCACCACATTGAGTGGGATACCCACCCAGGCCCTTCCTGCCTGGCAGAGGATGTGAAGGGATCCGTATGCAGGAGGAGCCCAGAGGTTTCCTGATGATGTTTGCCCAATAATAATTTTGAGTAATTATGTGCGTTCCCAGCTCTCGCATAATTAAGCCAAAAGAATCAGATCCTTTAACTCATTCCTTGATCATTTCCATATGATTACTACTTGCACAACTCTCATTTCCTTTGGCTTTGTTTCTGGATGCATTGGCGCGTCTCAACATTAGGGTGAACTCGAAAGCGCTGGCTCTTGTGCAGCCATTTCTGCGCTGCTTGCTTCTAGTTTCCCCCTCCCCATTTGGGGCTTGTGCACACTGAGCAAAGCAAATGCTGAGTCAGCAGGGACAGAGGTGGCCGGCAGCAGCAGCAACTCCTCCACCATCCTCTGTGTTCACGGAAGCCGCAGAAAGCAACCAGAACCACAACCGCAAAAGCCCCAGGAAGGGCAAGGGTGGAACAGGTGTGTGCGTGGATGCAGAGGGAGGACGTCCAATTCTCATCAGCTACGGGTGGCGGCAGCAGCAGCAGCAAAAGCGAACATGCTGACAAGTTGTATGTGTTTTACATGCCCATTAACTCCCTTGCTCAATAAAAGATGTGCCGTTTCTGCAGCCCTGGCCTGTCAGCAGTGCCACACGTGGCGCTTAAGCTGCTTTAGAGACAAGGAGAAAAAGGCACTTACCAGCCTGACAGCAGCAACAACAATCACCCTTTAGAGGGTATTCGGGGGGAAATATATGGGGCCGATGTGCCACATCTGCTAGTCCTTGTTAATAAAAAAATTAACTGATGGATTAGATGTGATGCATCAACGAAGATACCAGGTACGCTTAACGGGCACGGAGGGCTGCTGGCCTCCTTCCATCGGCCTCCATTGAAAAGTGCTGTGGGATTTTGTTCAGTGCCTCTCTGGTTCCCATCCCTAAAGCTTCGCCTCTCGGAATGACTAGGACCAATCTCCCACTAGGGTGCTTTGCTGCCCTGTCCTTGAAAAGAGGGAGCAGGGCATACCCACTCGATGGAGTGGTAAAACCAGAAGCCAGATCTACAGGACCCTTTGGCTACAATCCTGTGCACATTTACCTGGGAGTAGGAGCGGAGAAAAAAATCTCAGTTCTGTTTGTATGTGAATCTACCTAATTCACACGTTTCAAACCACTATGAAAGCTAAAAGCCTTTGTAATTCACACTTTCCTGAATTTTGTGATGCAGTTCTCCTACCAAACAAACTTGGAGGGGGGAAAAGCATAATAATGTATTAGTATTATTACAATATTTTTTTTTATTATATTAATTTGTATGCTGCTTATATGCCAAAATGGATTCTAAGCAATTTTCAACTATAAAATCTATATGCAATAACAATTCCATTGGGCAGTAAAACATCCTTAATTGAAACGTAACAATAAAATGAGCAATTAAGCAACAGGACAATTATAAACCAGTTAAAACAAAAAAGTCAGTTCAGAGGAATGCTTGACAAAACAGGTGTATCTTCAGGAACCAGTGGAATGGCAACCCACATGGGGATTCCTGTATTTCAGCAGGGAGGGCATTCACAACACTGGTAACACCAGTGAAAAAAGTGTGCCTGATATCATCATTAGGCTGTGGCAAAACTAACTG